TGTCTTATGGTTGTTATTGTTTGACTTGCATCCCACTGGGGTTTTTTGCACACAGCGTTGAAATGCGGTGTTTTTTTTCTGGAAGACTTTGCTGTTTTTTCTAGGATTTTCTGTTGCGTGTAGTCACTATAAGATGTTTATTTTGTCATGTTTATGTTTTATTGCGCTTGTACCCGAGTCAAGAGCCGCATTGCTCACAGGGTTATACCTAATAAATGAAATGAAATGAAATATTTTACCCGTGTTTTGTTTAATCCAGGTGGTATAATTGAAAGGTCACTGTACAACACAGACAAATACCAGTACGCAATTAAATACGACTCAAAAGTATAATATTGAAAAGTGAAGCTCCACTAAAAGTATAATGATTGCTTTATCTCCGTAATTGGTTCCGAGTAGGTGATGGAAATTCCACATTCCTGTGACGTGAATCAGTCCGAAGAGGCCACTCACTGCTGGCTCCCCCGTGGAGTTGTGCCGTGTCACCACGCGGTGCTGCTCCTTGTGCCGGGAAAGATGACGGGAACGGAGAGAAATTCCGGCTGGGACTTCAACTCGGAATCACGAAGGGCACGCTGGCGTCATCCCGGCACCTCAGCCACGCCGCTGTCAGCAGGCGAGTCAACGGTGCCCCGAGTGGCTCTGATCGAGCAATGCCCCCTGCCCGCCGCCCCATCCAGGTCATTAAGGCTTCTTCCATACGGATCGAAATATTAACAATGTCCTGACATCAAGAAATGTGTACATACCTCTCGTGCCTGCCTACGTGCCTGCCTGCGTATTCTTCAACGTTGTATGTTCACCCGGCCTTCAGCGGACGTGTGTAGACGTTCGGTGTGTCCGTGCGTATCGTCCTGAAAGTGCGCGCGGAGTTGTGATTCTTGACGCGGAGGACGAGTGCGTGTTTGTGCGTACAGCGACGATACGCCGCCTCATTTGCGTGGGATTGCTTGAGAGTGCATAGAACCATCGGTGTGTGTGCTTGTGAGGTTTGCCCTAATGCACGTGCGTTAATTAGCACGCGTGGCCACGTGTATGTGTGCGGCTGAGTGGCCATGGAAGTATGTGCATCTGAGTAAGCTTGTACACACGTGTGTGTGTTTGCACGTGCGTATATAATCAAGCGGAGAGCGGTGGCGCAGCGGTTAGTGCGCCGCGCTACGAACCCGGCGACCTGAATTTGATTCCTGCTCACGGCCTCAAATGAGTAGCTGGTGATGCGGCGTGTGACATGTTGCCACGAGGGTGCGAATCTCTCACGTGAACACGCTAATCTCTCACATTAGCATCACTAACCCCGCCCACTTCGTTGATGACCCTAGGAGCTCGCCCTATTAAACAGTCTCCATTCAGCAGCTTTTCCCCCTCTTTCCTCCTGATGACGATCGCTTGTGTTGCGATCGAAACGTCGTAGTTTTTTTGTTTATTTCATATTTATTATTTTTCTTAATTTGTACCTATCTATCGTGACGAAAGATACAGTAAATCTGGCTGTGACGGTCCCACCTGATGACGGAGACTTGTGTTGCCTCCGGAACGTCGTGATTTATAATTGTATTTCTATTATTTTTTAATACTTATTTTTACCTACGTGACTTTACCGAAAAAACCTAAGAGTATAATAAGGGTAACGTTTCTAATTTTCGTGACCAGACGGAAGAGTTATTTTGTTACTGGAGAAGCCTTGTTGAGTTCAAATGGAAGAGGGATGGTGAAATGAGAAATGATGTTGAGAAGCAGTGAGGGTACAATTCTTTAGTTTCCGTATCCACGGAAACATGCCCAGTGAGATTTCTCTTCTAGTGCCTCTTGTAAGTCTGCATGCACAAATGCATTTTAGACAGGAATACATGATTGTGTGTGTGTGTGTGATTGTGTGTGTGTATGAGCACATTTTAGGAGCGGCAGTGTTGTGGTTAGTGCACTGCCAGAGGAAACCTGTGGCCTGATTTCAAATCCCGCGTAGAACCAATAACAGTGGCGAATATGTGAACCGGTCCTGTGCCTACTCTAGGTCGACTCGGCCATAAACGAGTACCTGGTGCAATGTGTAAACATCAGAACTCAGAAGACAAAGGCAACGGGGTGTGGTGCTGGCCACCCACCCCCTCGTGTGCCGTGCCGGCTTTCACAGGTGCGGGGAATCTTGGCTTTGGATATGAGCGCATGAAGGCATGTAAGCGTCAACGTGTGCTTTCAGTGTGTACAATGCATATTGAAAATCAGCAATCGTGGATGCATACGAGTCTGCGATGCTTTGAAATAATGTGTATGTCCCATTAATGCTTAGATCTGGGATTATCCATGCAGGACTGTATGCAGAGTCCACAGAAACATAAAGATTCTGGACAGAGTCCAAGCAGACGGCTCCTCTAGCTGATGAGGCTGCATTGGTTGAATCACGTCGCCTGCATGCTCGGATACCACGTGTCCGGGCAGCCTTCGATAGAGGGCATCCGTAGACGGTAAAGCATCGGCTCGAGAGTAAATTGACTGATGAGCATCAGCTGGACTTTGCCAGCTGATGCCAGCAGTGTCACGTTTGGCCGCGCTGGAGGAGGAGGTGCATCAGTAATGGCACTGGGCACCTGGCAGCAGTGGCTGCTCTCCAGAACAAAACAAATCAGTCCAGAGAGCTGCGCTCATCACAATTAATGGAGCGGCAGGAGGTGACGACGGCACGCTAGCACAATGGGAAACTCCATTTGCGCATCTGCAGGTCACACCCATCTATTAGCCCATCAGCCACAACACCTGGGTCCAATCAGTGGTTTCTTGTTAGGTAATCTTCCGCGGTGGCGAGATGTTAACTATCTCACCCGGTATACAGGGGGTTGTGGGTCTGATCCCGACCCTGACGCCTGCTGTATATTTGGAGTTTGCACGTTCTCCCCGTGGTCACGTGGATGTTTCCCTGGGTCCTCCGTCCTGCAATGTATCTCCCACGTGATCAACCGCTTCGTTGAGCTATCGTTTGTCGTCAGGTCGCTTCTGAAAAAGAGCGACGTGGCTCTTACCTGGTCTAATAAAATAAAAATGTAGTTTATAGTTTAGTTTATAGTTGTGTAATCCAAACCACTCCCCATGGCCTCAACGTGCACCTCGCCTGCACTCACCCACCACCGCCACCAACGAATGGCAAATTGAAATCCGGCTGTTGCCGTCCGCGTGTGCACTTGCGACCACTCGCGACGTTTCCATCACTCGGCGTGCAATGGCATGACGCTCGGTAGGGACGGCCTGACCGTGAGCGTGAGACTGAACACTCAATGGGCCAGGGCGTTGGGTCTCTCTCACCCCAGCGGCAGTTGAAGCGTTACCCTGGGTCTGTTAACCCGTAACATCTGTGTCTGCCCCGTGCCTTCCTGTCATTGATATTTCACCGCTCAACGTGCGACTATCCTGGCAGAAAGAAACGTCACTTAGTGGCGAATGGCAGCAGTCACACGTGCGTGTGTACGCGTGTGTGCGTGTGTACGCGTGTGTGCGTGTGTGCCAGTGTACGCGTGTGTACGCGTGTGTACGTGTGTACGCGTGTGTGCGTGTGTGCGTGTGTACGCGTGTGTGTGCGTGTGTGCGTGTGTACGCGTGTGTGCGTGTGTGCGTGTGTACGCGTGTGTGCGTGTGTACGCGTGTGTGCGTGTGTGCGTGTGTACGCGTGTGTGTGTGCGTGTGTGCGTGTGTACGCGTGTGTGCGTGTGTGCGTGTGTACGCGTGTGTGCGTGTGTGCGTGTGTACGCGTGTGTGCGTGTGTGCGCGTGTGCGCATGTGACAGCTGCCTGGGTATTTTATGTCACCAATCGCTCCCTCCCCTAAACTCCCCATGAGTGATGGGGCAGTTGTGGAGATAGTGAAGTTTCCATACTTGGGCAGTGTGCTAATGACCAGCTCTCGTTTGACAGCTGAGGTTTCACTCAAATCTAGAACACTGGAGCGGCATTATCTTTTCATCGGCCGCATATCGCCGTGTAGAAGCTGCCTGCCCTGTCACCCCATGCACATCCCCTGGTCTTCTCGGCCATAGTTACGCCCTCCCTTCTCGATGCTTGCAAAGGATGCAGCCATCCAAAGGAACATCTGCACCAGTTTGGAACATTCAAGCTAGCCTGCCTACTATCCATCCTGGGTTTAACCAGACAGGGTTGTGTGAGGAGTACACATGTTCTTGAAAGATCTGGACACAGTCCCATCAGTGAGATCCTCCAGCAAGCGAGGCTACGTTGGCTGGGTCATGTAGCCCGCATGCCCAGCCACCGCATCATTCCCAAGCAGCTTTTGTTCAGCCAGATAGAAGCCAAATAGAAGCCAGGTCGGACTAAACGGACGTGGCACGAGCTAGAGAAGAGATGGACTGATGTGGAGCTGATTTGACTTGCCAAAGACTGGTACCAGCGGTGTAAAGATCGGCCTCTGTAGAGGAGGCTCGTAAAGGACGCTACTGGGCAGTTGGAGGCAGTCGCCCTCCAACAACAACGGAGGGTGGAGGAGCGACGCTCACAACAACGAGCGGAGCGCCGGGCATGTTAAAACACAGCAAGTTGGCTTGGTAGGGGGCACAGGTGGTGCATCTGCCGGTCATCTTAGTCAGACAACCCAAGGCACCCGGGTCTGTCCGGAGACCTCCTGCCAGCAGCGAGCCTTCGACACTTCACGTGATAGCCTCAACGTTCACCTGGCCTGGCACAGGCGCGGTGGTGACGTCACCGTCAATTTTGTGGCGAATGTCGAAGATTGGTATTGGTGTGCGTGTGTGTGCGTGTGTGTGTGGCAGAGGTGGGACAAAGTCATTGTTATGCAAGTCCAAGTCGAGTCTGGTCCTGGGCCTCCCCTAGGTCGACTCAGTATAAAATCAGTACCTGGTGCGGAGTGTATTAAGCATCGCAACTAGGGAGACAGGCCTTCACAGGTGCTACTCGCTAACAGCACTTGCCCAAACAGTCTATTAAGGCTACACGGGGCATCTTTGCCTTTGTGTGTGCGCGCGCGAGAGAGCCCCTCACCTGGCTCTGCGTGAAGCGGGGGGCGTTGTCGTTCTCGTCGGTGACGCGCACGTGCACGCGCGTGGCCGCCTCGTGGGGGGGCGTCCCCCCGTCGCGCGCGTGCAGCCACAGGGAGTAGCGGTCGCGCCGCTCGCGGTCCGGGGGGTGCGCACCACCAGGTACGGGGGGCCACCTTCACGCGTGGGGAGACACGCACGCACGCACACACGCACGTTCTAGCGAGCCGTCGAACAAAGACGGTGACTGCAGAGCGCGCTTTCAGATGCGCTTCTGCGGCCGTCTGGAACGCTCTTTCGATATTAAGAAGCCACTGGTAGCTGTGCACTTTATAATATAAATAAAAAACTCGTTTCTTTAGAACTGCTTTTTGTGTTTAGTTTGTTGTCCTTCCCCCCTCAACTCCGATTTGCACGGTTGGGGACGTACGGTGCTCTAAAAAAAGATCAACATACACACGCACGCATCAGCAACGGCTTGCAGATGTGCGAGATGTTAACTACCTCGCCTGGTATACAGGAGGTCGTGGGTTCGATCATGCCTCTGACACATGTATATTTGGAGTTTGCGTGTCGTTCCCGTGGTCGCGTGGATTTTTCTCCAGGTCCTCCGGTTTTTCCCTCCACATTTAGAAACATACATACAGCATTTGGCTACTGCTATACATTTCCACTTGATGAGCCACTTTGTTGAGCTATCATTGTGGCCAGAGCTTTATAGCTCAGTGGGCCTTGCCTAGTAAAATAGCAATAGTTTAACTTTTAGTTTTAAGCAGACTCAATTATACGGTTTCGTGGAGGGGAATGGCCTGCCCAATGCTTTGAGTGGTAAACATCGACGCTGCAATCCCAAGTAGTAGGGGGCTGCCTCTGTGGCTCTAGAACAGCGGTCGGGATCCTATGGCTCGCGAGCCATATATGGCTCTTCTGGTGACGGCATATGGCTCCCAGACAATTTTGAGTTGAAAAAAAAATACAAAAATCAGTTTGGAACTGATTTTAAAATACTTGTGATATTGCTTAGTAATACTGTGTCATTTTAAAGTAAACAGAAATTAGTTTTGAAGATAAATTTCACGGGTCAAGGGGCCTCAACGCCTGCATGAAGCTCAACCTCACCACGTACGAACCAGACTACAAGGCCATCAGCAAAACCATGCAGCACCAGAAGTCGCATTAAAAGTGATACATATTTAATTTATTATACGTTAAAAAGACTATATGGCTTTCAATGCAATATATTTAGAAATATTTGGCTTTTATGGCTCTCCCAGTCAAAAAGGTTCCCGACCCCTGCGTTAGAACTTTTCCTGCGCCCCAGTAGCGGGACAGCACCGTCGACATCTTGGGGTCAAGCTGTAAATGCCCACCCCGGGTAAACGACGTCCTTAGGCACACGGCATTTTATGGCCCAAACATTAATGACCACACTCAATATGAAGTCCGAATCCATGGCTTTAGGAGTGGTGGCACAGCGCTTATCAGAATTCACTCTGAACCCAGCGGCCTGCGAATAACCCCATGGCTGACATCGGTGACCAGGTGATATCAGAACGGGGCCACAGGCACTCCTTCAACAACCCATAACGACCAGCGTGGTGAAGTATGGTCAAGCAAACGACCCTTGACTGGCAGAGCATGGAGCGCCCTTCATCCAGCATTGGATTGGAAAAAAAAACCCACATATTCTTATTCATTTTACAAACTTAACAATGGCACTTCAAGTGTCCTAACCCAAAGTTCGAAATTTAAATGGTGGGTAGATATAAAGCACAGCAGCATTTGCTCGTATACTACTCATTGACGACACTGTGAAATCCTTGAATTAAATACAATTGTGAGGTTTACTTGCTGATAAATTGTGCTCAATGTTTCAGCTGACAAGCCTTGATGAAAGGTCACACAGGCGGTCGGCAGCGTGACAGCCATGCCCACGTGGTTCTCGCGAGGGATCGCTAGCGGGCCGCAGACCAAGGCCTCGGCTGCTGAGAAACACCACGAGAAAAAAACCTAAGAATATGAGAGGTGTTCAATTCCGGAACATTGTGAGAGCTGAAATATTTCATGCCGCGTTCCCTTTCTGAGAACGTTAATTTGATGTCGCGACATGGACAACATTTGATTGGGATGTGACAAAAAACACACACGCTTACACCTTGAAGAAAAGAGAGCACAAAACATCCCCACAAAACCACCTCCAGTAGACGTGGAGACCTCATATGGGGACGAGGGATCATGAGCGTGACAGCTACCACTCACTCCGCTTACTTCTGGATAAACTAATATTGCCACCGCGCGTACAATGCAATATAGTAATACATGTAACCTGGAATGCGCTGTCGTACAATATTCGCTCACTCTCGAAGAAAGAGAGAGAGAAGACGACTCAGAGGTGAGAAGAACCATAAACAAGCAGGAAGGCAGCTGCCACGAGATGAGCCGGCGCCAAAAATCGTCCAAGTTCTGCGGTCCTCTATGTAAGTGTGTTATGGGCCAATTAAAATGCGTGTTTGCATGTGGGAGGGAATTGGAGCAGCCGGAGAAAACGCAAACGTGCAAGGGGGAGTGTCACTCTTTCCGATACAGACAGAACAGTCACACATTGTTGCTGTCCTGCATTCTCCTGGCAGGCCAGGGTTACGGCACCTCCTCGACACAACATTTGCGTGCGGTCCACCCACTAGTGCTGGATTACGGGCAGCCTACGTGCAGAGCCATCAGCGCCCGGCTCAAGACTAATATGAGGCTCTACGAGTGAGGCAGCTGACACTCTCACGCCCCCCCCCCCCCCATGTCTGGAGACACCAATATTGCCACCGCACGTACAATGCACACGAAGGCACGCACACACAAGTTCAAAAAACATCGACTGTGAGCAGTTGGCAGAGAATGCTCTCCTCACGCCAGGAACGTCACTTGACAAGCCGCAGGAAATGTCGCTCTCCGGAGCGAATGTCTAATTTCACTCCACGCATCAGGTGAATATTCTGCAGCAAAAAGTGGGTCCGTATACGCAGCACCCCTCTGCCGCCACGGCTTAATGCGTTCTCTCAAATAGCAATGGATTTGCTTCTCGTGGAGGAGTGCCTGTGTTAGTTATGGACGTGCAATTTCAAACCACGAACCGGGCACGAATATTCATCCCAGACATCGCTAGAGGAATGCGGCCGATTTGTGTACACACAATTAGCATTTCCGCCTATAAATCCAGCATTGGAAATCAAAGAGTGCTCCATGCTGCAATGTATTTACAGTTCCACATGAACCATGTGAACTAATTGAAAGAAAAAGGAGGATTGTGTTGGACTGGGACGTTATGGATTTTGGAAACAATGGATATAATTAGAGAATTCTGGAAAAATCTACTTTGAAAAATAAAATAAGGAATGATGGTTTGTAGCAACATTGCAGGCCCGAATTCAAAATAATAATAAATATATGCTAATGAATTGTTTTTACTGTATCTGCATGAGGGTATTCTTATAGAAAATGTTGAAATAAGTTTCAAGTTCTTGGTTCTTTCGGTAAAGTCACGTAGAATGGAAATAATAAAATAATAAAAATGAAACATAATACTATAATATAATAATATAATATTTTTGTTATTTTTTTATTTCCATTCTACGTGACTTTACCGAAAGAACCAAGAAGATGAATCCCTGCAGTCACGAAAGCTTTAAATCGAAATATAAGTTTCAAGGTTAGACCATTACATAGCCAAGGATGTACAGTATCAGTGCACACGACTGTCATTTGCACGATTCCCAAACATTAAGAATTATAATTTCATTTTTTAAACGTAATTAATATTCTTGTTTTGCTGCCTTGCCTAAGCTCGCATTTGGCCTTGACAAATTTACAGAAATGTGTGTACTTGTGCAATTTGTACATTGAATATTCTAATGACTTATTTTAAGTGCCTTTGCTTAACAGTTCTCTATCTTACTCTCGTATCCATTGCTGTATTTTTGTGTTAATGTCACTCGCTGACCCAGCCCAGACTGGACATCTTTGAAAAAGAGCTTCATAGCTCATGAGATTCTTTGTGTAAATAAAGATCCCCAATAGGCCACCCTTGAACAGGCTAAACTCGTAAGCAACGGAATGGCTCCATTGTATGAACTGGCCATGTAGAAAGCAAAACCAGCCCCCTCATACATGTCTAAATCTAATTATGGTAACAGGTACTGTGCACTGAGCGAAGTGATCACTCTTTCAGAAGCCACCTGGCCACACACGATAGCTCAACGAAGTGGCTTATCTCGTGGGAATTTACAGCAGCCGAATATTCCACACGCGTGTTCATCCTAAATGTGGAGGGAAAACCCGACGGACCCGGACAAAAGTGAATGTGACTACGAGGAGAGAGACATGCACACTCAAAATAACCCACGACCTCCTGTATATCAGGAGAGGGAGTTAACATCTTATGCCGAAACAGCGTTGAGCACGTGTCAACTATCGCTGGCATCATAGCCCTCGCTCCAAACGTACGAATCACTCAACTGTTGTATGTATGTTTTCAAAATAAACAAAAACCGTGTTTATCCCTAATTCTACTTAGTCAAACATATTGAGTACACATTTATTTAAAAAATTAGAAGCCTCAGTGTTGAATTGAATATTGTGAGCGTGTGCACTGTTGAGCGGGCGCGATGCGTTGTGATGGTGTACGCCTCTATAACGCCACTATTCCCACATAAATGCTGCATTGCTTATCACGTTGACGGCCTTTGGAGTGAACTGATGAAGAGCGCGTTTAATCGTTATTGCTATTCGTATGGTACGGTAGCTGAATAAGCATACTTGTTTTAGCATTTCTAGCATCTGTGTGTTTGCGTAGTAATACTTGTCCATCATAGGACCTCCTTTGCCAGTGTCAAAATATAAGAATAGGTTTTCCCCTTTTCTTATAACACTTGTCCATTTATAGTTACATAATTAAATGTAACCATTTATTTACGTTATCACGCAATCAATTTGAACATTTTTAAATTCAATGTCGTTCATAAGCTTTAAATAAAGTATCCATCCCCGTGTTTTAAAACGAATTATTTTTCCTGGTCTCCCTTTCCATATACAGGCACACTGTCTCAATGGCATGCGACCTCGCTTATGACTAACAGTCAATAAATACAGCGGTAGGGCAAGTGTTCAGCACACTTTGGTTCAAACCCAGACACCTGGCCACGGTGTTAATATTGTTTGTTGCTGCGTCATGAGAAAACTCCTGACCCAATCCACCTTTATCCAACAGCGGATTGACAAAGGGGAGCAGTAAAGGATTACATTTTAATTCATACATAGTGGATTTGTATTCCAGTACTGATGGATAGGTATTAGCGGAGTGTCATGTGATGCGCTGCTGCTCAATATGGTAAGTAGCCCAATGTCAGTTACTTTCGCATTTAATGTCCTGAGGAAACAAAACCTAACACTGATAAATGTGATCGCTCAACGCTATACTTGGTATGAATACTCTGACTAGCACGGTAGGCTGCGCACGGCGTGAAACAAATTCAGCAAACATACTTGACGCTGACATCATGGGCCACATGTTAGCCGAGCAGCGGTGGCTGTGCACGCCTTTTCACCCAGCACTCTGGAGGCAATGAGGTTGGTGGATCACCGCACGTGTTGAGAAACTCCCTTTCCGTGGGCGGCGAGGAGATGGCGGTCCAGCAGAAAAAGAAGTGAACTTCGCCTGGTCCGTCTGTACGGGGATACAGTGCTCCCCCCTCGCACGCGTCTGTTTTCTCTGGGTGCCCCGGTTTACACGCACTGTAAAAATGTTTTACTTGGCCGATAACACCTGAATATGTAGAGGACCACAGAACTTAGGCAATTGTTGGCGCCTGCTCAGCGTGCACCTGCCTTCTCCGACTCGTCTGCGGCTCCCGAGTCGTTCTCTCTCTCTCTTTGAAAGTGAGCAAATACTGTGCGGAGCATTGCAAGTTAAAATTATGACATTGAAATTGAGCTGCGTGTGTGTGTGCTGTGTGTTCAAACCACGTGTGTACTTCTGCTCCTGATAAAAAAGAAAATCGGTAAGAATAAACAGCCCTCTTGTGTGTTGTGGTGTTGCTCGGCATCCATATTTATTCGCAACACCCACACTGCCATCCTGCGACTCGTTTTCAGGAGGGTCCTGCAATGGGGTTTTTAAGATGTTTTCAGTCAATGAGGGTTGATACAAGTGGTAGGAAACCAGAGCCCCGATAAAAACCCACACGTGCGAGAGAGCAACGCTCTATCTCCGTACAGAAACAGATGGAGATTCGTCCACCTGCTTACTGTCTTCTCCTGGCGAGCCACGGTAAGGCTGATCGACGCTCACGGGAGAGACTTTCCCCGGTCTGGGAGCCGCATCAAAGAACGAATAAGCTGAAGGCAGCTCTCGGCAGGCAGAGCAAAACGTCACAGACCTAACGGTCGAACAAAGCGGATTACGACCCGACAAGCACATCTCACAGAGTCATACGGCACATCCGCAACAAACAAAAAACATAGCAAAATGCCAATGTTGAGGTCTTGCTACCCATGACAGGGCTTCAGAAGAGAGTTCGTGTGGCCTTGCTATTTTTTTCTTATTTTACCAGGTAAGGCCCAATGCGCTGCTGTTTTTCAGAAGCGACATGGCCACAAACGACAGCTGAAACGAAGAGGCTTATCGTGTGTAAATTTGATAGGAGCCAAATACTCAAAACGCGTGGTGTTGATTCTAAATGTGGAGGGAAAAACCAGAGGACCCAGATAAAGATCCACACGACCATGGGGGAGAGCACGCAAACTCCAAATATACAGCAGTCAGGGTCGGGATCGAACTCACAGCCTCCTGCATAGCAAGCGATGGCGTTAACATCTCATAGCCACAGTGGCACCACCATAGTAATGCCTGGCCCATAGTACGGTGGGAATGTAGAGACGTGGTCTCACTGGAACCAAGATGACCATTGCGGAGTTACGTCACAATGGAATGTTAATTCACTCGACTGTCGTAGAGGTTCGTAAAAAAAAAGAAATCGCATTAAAAAAATAAAAAAAACAGGTCTTTGTTGCTCCCAAAATTGTGCTTTTAAGTCAATCATGGGATTAGAACGTCTTCATTACCAACAGTAGTCGCTTTTCATTAAACTATAGCTAACGATTCCCTTTCTGGCACAAGATTCTTGTTAGGGTCTGCATTGCATAATTATATCTTCCTCTGTTTAATTGCATTTTATATACCTGGATAGTTACTGCATTTTTTGATTAAGAAGTTGCTTCGCTTACCCTGGCCAAACTTCTAACCAAGAAAAATTAATGAACGTGGCTTAGAAAAGTAATGCAATTTACTTGAATATGCATAACACATCTGCGAGGCAAGAATAAACATCCTTCAAATTAGTTTACAGATGAATGTAGTCTAAAATTGCTTTCTGCTCTCATATCAAACACCGCGGTTTGACCGATGACGTTTAAATGTTTTCCAACCGCACAGTGTACAGTGGCTCATTACTGGGGCATTACATTCTTATGAAGGCATCGTTTTTCTCCGTCGTTCTATTCAACTTGGGCCTAATTGAGCTGAATTATTTATGAAGGGCCCTGTTGTTTTTGTAGATTGCAGCTGTTTTAAGAATGCATAACTCATTATTGTATTCCTGTCCCGTAATGCATTACACCTTCCAAGCGTATCGTGTTATTGTTTGAATACCATTCGTTTTGCCCGATTGCAAGGGTCCGATCGTTTAAAATCCCTTCACACTATTGCTCCTTCTCTCTTCCCTTCCTTTTGTAAAAAGTTTCCGCGCTCCTGTCCATGGTCCCAGGGGTGAGCAGAAGAAGCGATGCCATTCCCCTCCCTTGTAAAACAAAAAAACGCCTCCTTCACCAATAATGCCGAGTTGGGTCACCATTGTCAGAGCATTGCCTCTTGTTCCAAAGTGAACGGTGACGACCCGGCACCGATCAGCCAGAGTGAGCCAGCTTCGTCGCTGCCTGCTGGGGTTAGACGACTAAACTATTGTGTGTTGAGCTCGGAATGTTACCCTGTTAGTGAAACTAACGCAGCAACAAACAATGCCACGTGATATCGGATGGCTATACAACCATATTTTCTTCCTTCACATTTTCGATGTACGGCGCAACAGCGGGTCGTGCGGGTCCTTATATACGGAGCTGATTGTTGCTGTTTGTATGTCTGTTACGAGGTTGGATGAACGTTTATTTATTCTCAAAATTAACACGCAAGGGGTGGGGAAAAGAGGGGAGTGGGGGAGGGGGAAACACGTGGGAGGGCTGTGGGCCAGGACAGGGCACCGGTCACAGTACAGGGAGTGGTGGGGGGGGGGACATAAACTCCGCGCTCAAATTCGGTGCCCTAGGGCTTGGTGAGGATGGGGGGGGGATTTGGGCTCTCTGCCCCATCCAGGTGGGGACCACGAGCGAGAACACGAACGTGGGGAGGGGAATAGAACGTGACCATGGGGAGGGGAACGATAACTACGAACATCGAGAGGTAAAGGGGGTGGCTGTGGCACCGGACCAAGGGATTCAGGACGCGAGGTGCGGGTTTAAATCGGCTACTCGGCCAACGGGTGCCGTGTCCTTTTAAAGTCTGCCTCCTCCTTCCCTGTAAATCGCGCCGTCGCAGGGGGTCGAGAGAGGCGCACGCAGGGAACTGTCCTGTCTGTGGAGCTGTGGCATCAGACGCAGCGTGGCTGGGTGGCTCGAGTGAAGTGGCCACGTGGGGTCTGGGAGGTCACAGCATTGAGCCAGCACTGCTGAGAACCTGGGTTTGAACTCATGCACCCACTAAAATCTCGTGCGATTTTAATTGATAGAGCGTCTTGACAAAGACGCTGAACAAAGGATTAACTATTTGTGCAGCAGAAGAAGTGCGAGAAGAGAGAGTTGATGGGAAGGATGGCAGTGCGTGAGCATGATGACGCGTGAAATAAACGTCGATGGACGTGACACTGAGTGGTTAATGACGATTGAGGGTGACGAATGGGTAGGGACGCTGGGAAAGGGGGGTGGTGTGCATGATGTATGTACGTATGTTGAACGACTTTCGCACCGTGCGTAGCCGACCGCGCATATCGGTGGTCACGGGGGGGGGGGGGGGGTGATGGGGAATAGGGGAGAGGAGTGGGGGTAAGCGAGCGTTGTAAGGGAATAACGGAACAGGGAGAGTGATGGCTCGAGGTGGAGGGGCAGCTTGTACCGATGTAAGGGGCCAGAGGCGGTAAAGAACGGAATCGTGATTGAAATGAAATCAAGTTCTCAAGTGAAGAGGGCTGATAGCTAGTTAATCAATGAGCTGATAGTCTAAGCCGGTAATTCAATGAGCTGATAGTCTAAGCCGGTTAATCAATGAGCTGATAGTCTAAGCCGGTTAATCAATGAGCTGATAGTCTAAGCCTGGCTAATCAATAAGCTGATAGTCTAAGCCGGTTAATCAATGATGTGATAGTCTAAGCCCGGTTAATCAATAAGCTGATAGTCTAAGCCCAGTTAATCAATGAGCTGATAGTCTAAGCCCGGTTAATCAATGATTTGATAGTCTAAGCCGGTAAATCAATGAGCTGATAGTCTAAGCCGGGTCAATCAATGACTGCGTGAAATAAAAGACATTAATATACGGTGCTATTGGGAAACATTTCAGCTCTGAGACTTGGTTTCAACAACACGTGACAAACACTCGCTGCGTCGGATTAAAATGTGTGCCCAGAGTGTGAACAGAGAGCCCTGTTGAAGTTGTTTCAAAAGTACTTCTCCGACATCATATTTCAAGGTGGGTCTCCGATACAAGATGATGCTTTCATAGCTCTGGACGTTGTGAATGGAAATTCCTTCGTGCTCCTCACACGATGCAACGTAGGGATAATATAATTAGGGGAGGGAAATCAAACAATAAATCCTCATGCAAGGCAATAATTAGTATACAGATGATGAATAAAATTAATGACAATACCTTTTAGCTCTCAACATTCATCGCCGAGCATTGGAATTAAACTGCGCCAGTTAGCATGCCTCTCATTTTTTTTCTGACAAGACGTGGACAGTGTCTAAAACAAGCTGCCGTGCCCGCCTATTTGGGTGTAATCCGAGTATTTATTGTAGATATCTTTTCATGACTTGCTTACTTTAAAACTGCACACGTGCACATAGCTGCACGTGTCGTAGGAAATCAATACGGACGCAAATAAATACACGTACATTTAAAATAAGCAGGCAACGCGCAGCTTCTCGAAGCAAACGCCTATGCGATGGAAATTGTCACGCGCTTTTATAAACGCTCCGCAAGAAGATGGGACAGTGGGTTTAAGTGTCTGAAGGACAGCACACTTTATAACGCGGACACATGCCACCGAGGAAAAGATTGAGTTTCTTGACGGGGAAAAAACCCTAAAAACCTTGGGCTACAAGCAGACGGACCACCACGGACTTCATCCTTTCCACCACGTACAACTTTTTGAGTTATTTCCACTCGTATTGATTTTCTACCCAGCTTGCCTCTGAGAGTTACGGTCTCACCGTTGGTCCTGGAAGTGAAAAGGTCACGAGGCGCCGAAATAGCTCCGCTTCATTAAGTGACAAAACACAGCGCGTCTTTGAAGGATATCTTTTGTTGAGGATGAGGCCTTTCGCGTACGACAACCGGGCCACGACGAATCACTGAAAATAACTCCACTTCTGTAAAGATACCGCTCGGGCGTCAAAAGAGATGCCTCGAGCGGCCCGTCGACAATTGCGACGAGTCAGTCCGTTGGAGTTGCCCGTACCCGGCGAAGTAGCCAGCACTACCAGCACTACCAGCACTGCCAGCACCAACAGCACCAACCGCACCAACAGCACCAGCAGCACCATCTAGCACCATCAGCACCAGCAGCACCAGCAGCACCATCAGCACCAGCAGCACCAGCAGCACCAGCAGCACCACCAGCACTCGCAGCACCAGCAGCACCAGCAGCACCAGCAGCACCCGCAGCACTACCAGCGCTACCAGCGCTAGCAGCGCTAGCATCGCTAACAGCGCTAGCAGCGCTAGCAGCGCTAGCAGCGCTAGCAGCGCTAGCAGCGCTAGCAGCGCTAGCAGCGCTAGCAGCTGCTAGCAGCGCTCAGCAGCGCTAGCAGCGTCTAGCAGCGCTAGCAGCGCTAGCAGCGCTAGCAGCGCTAGCAGCGCTAGCAGCGCTAGCAGCGCTAGCAGCGCTAGCAGCGCTAGCAGCGCTAGCAGCGCTAGCAGCGCTAGCAGCGCTAGCAGCGCTAGCAGCGCTAGCAGCGCTAGCAGCGCTAGCAGCGCTAGCAGCGCTAGCAGCGCTAGCAGCGCTAGCAGCGCTAGCAGCGCTAGCAGCGCTAGCAGCGCTAGCAGCGCTAGCAGCGCTAGCAGCGCTAGCAGCGCTAGCAGCGCTAGCAGCGCTAGCAGCGCTAGCAGCACTAGCAGCACTAGCAGCGCTAACAGCACTAGTAGCACTAACAGCACGAGCACTAACAGTACTATCAGTAGCAGCACTATCAGTAGCAAGCCTTCCGGAGCTCAGAGTCGCCATGAACACTGCGTGGCGTTGGCCGCATAATCGCGCTGGGTTTCACACTGGCCACGGGAATGGGTTTCACACTGGCCACGGGCATGGGTTTCACACTGGCCACGGGCATGGGTTTCACACTGGCCACGGGAATGGGTTTCACACTGGCCACGGGAATGGGTTTCACACTGGCCACGGGAATGGGTTTCACACTGGCCACGGGCATGGGTTTCACACTGGCCACGGGAATGGGTTTCACACTGGCCACGGGCATGGGTTTCACACTGGCCACGGGCATGGGTTTCACACTGGCCACGGGAATGGGTTTCACACTGGCCACGGGCATGGGTTTCACACTGGCCACGGGCATGGGTCACACTGGCCACGGGCATGGGTTTCACACTGGCCACGGGAATGGGTTTCACACTGGCCACGGGAATGGGT